TCTATCAGGCTGCCGGAGCGATTTGCGACGGTATGTTTTGGACCGGTGTTTGGCAATGCCATGCTTTCAGGCATGGATGTTCTGCGCGTTACGTGCGTAAGGTCTCTTGCAGAGGGCTCAAAGTTCAGGGCTCCGGGTTTAAAGGCACAATGAAACTCATACCAGACTAAGGGCTCCGGGTTTAAGGCACGATAAAATTCATACTAGACTAGGGGGCAAAGCCTGGGATTTAGGTTTAGGGTGGTTAGTTTCAGGTTTGGTTGCCGCTTGTTTCTGTTTTTTTTCAATTTAAATTATCGAGGCTGTCAGGTCAATTTGGATAGTTTAAAACATGTAAGTCTAAGTAGTTGAAGTGACTCCGGCTCTATACGTAGACTGATTATGTCAGCTGTCTGGCGCGTTTGAAAAGTTTACAAAGAACAACAATTTGAATTGATCCCAATTCGATTGCCCTAAGGGCATCTCTTTCGCATACAGTGACAGCACAGATTAAGAAATCATTGGTTTAAGAAAAGAGCATGCTCGCGGCTGGACCCCCAGATAAACATGCGAAAATTGAGAGCAAGACTAAATTCAGAAATACCCTCATCCTCGGGTCCTAAGTTTCTTGAATTTGCTTGTTTTTTTTTGCAACCGCCCCTCAGTTTCTAGAATTAAAAAATTTAAGACATCCAGCCCCCGTAGTTCTGGATGCTTCCGCCCCCCCCCCCCCCCCCGCCCGAATAAAAAATCATCCCCCGTCAAATAACAAAATCCAGCCCGTCGGTTTGTTAAATTTTCGAAATCCAGCCCCTCCATTTCTTAAATTTCCACAAACTCAGCCCCTCGATTTCCGAAATGTAAGAAATCAGAAATCGAGGGGCTGGAATTCAGAAGTTTAAGAAATCGAGGGGCTGGATTTCTTAAATCGAGGGGCTGGATTTCTGGGGGGGGGGGGGGGGGGGGTGGGGTTTGGACGTAGGCATTTGGTGTTCATAGCCTTCAGGTCAGACTTCTTTTTCCTGAGCGTCGCCCCCCAAATTCAAGAAATTGAGGGGTGCATGTCTGAAACTTAAGAAATTGAGGGGCTGGATGTCTTAAATTCGAGAGGCTGAATTTCTTTGAGGGGGGGACCACCCAATGAAGAACTCGAGCGATCAGCCTAATGGATACGGCGTCGCCTTACTAATTCAAACATTACCAGATCGAATCTCATGAAGAAATAGATTAAGAAAATGAGGGTACCCTCAAAATTGCGGAGGTTATATTTCCGGAAATTGTGTGGGCTTCAGAATTAAAAAATCCAGGGTACCCTCGCCAAAATTTAGACGTTTCTTATCCGGCGCCTGTCACTGTAGATATTTATTTTTACAAGGTACATAATTCCGAGCTTCCCTACTAAGAACCCGTAAGCAAACCCCAAAATATACCCCAAATAGAATAGAATCCCCTTAAAGGGACCCCCCAAAAAGGGTGCCCCCATTTGCAAACCCAAAATAACAAAGCCCAGGCACCAGCCACCCGTGTACGCGCTCGCCATCCCCTATCGGCTCCTTCGGCGTTCAAAACCCAGAAAGGCCTGAACCCTAAAGCCTAAACCCTGGGTTTTGGGTTTAGGGTTTAGGGTTTAGGGTTTATGGTTTAGGGTTTATGGTTTAGGGTTTAGGGTTTAGGGCTTAGGGTTCAGGGTTTCGGGTTCAGGATTCAGGCTTGGGGTTTGGGTTTGGGGTTTGGGGTTTGGGGCTTGGGGCTTGGGGCTTGGGGCTTGGGGCTTGGGGCTTGGGGCTTGGGGCTTGGGGGCTTGGGGCTTGGGGCGGGGCTTGGGCTTGGGGCTTGGGCTTGGGGCTTGGGGCTTGGGGCTGGGGCTTGGGGTTTGGGGTTTGGGGTTTGGGGTTCAGCGTTTGGGGTTCAGGGTTTGGGGTTTGGGGTTTGGGGTTTGGGGTTTGGGGTTTGGGGTTTGGGGTTTGGGGTTTTTCGGGTTTCGGGTTTCGGGTTTGGGGTTTGGGGTGTGGGGTGCGGGGTGCGGGTGCGGGGTGCGGGGTGCAGGGTAGCAAAGTGCACTTTAAACGGCCCTTTCATACAGAGAGCCTACAAGGGGACAACAATCAGAGACTTGATCCAGCGACTTCAAAGGCCGGCCCCTAAAGCTTTCTCAAAGATATGTCTGAATGAGATCACCTTAAATTTAAACCCACGAAAGAACATCTGAAATCTTCCAGGCCTAGCTTCATCCGGGGAAGACGTAAAGGCTTCGAGGCCCCGTAGGCCATCTAAACACCCCCCCCCCCGCCCCGCTCGAGAAAGAATGGAATACACCCTGGGCACTAAACCCTAGAACCCTAAACCGTAAACCCCAATACCCTAAACCCTAAAACCTCCCAAACCCCTAAGCCCTAAGCCTCAAAACCCTAAACCCTAAACCCGAACACCCGTGTGCAGATTGGCGGCTGTATAAGAGAGCCTCGCTGTCACGGGATCCTTGCCTGGGCAGCTGCACGAGGATTTCTGGATCTGCGGGGGTCTAGGGTCTAGGGTCTAGGGTCTAGGGTTTAGGGTTTAGGGTTTAGGGTTTAGGGCTTAGGGCTTAGGGACACTTCAATGCTTTCGGAGCCCAGGGGCCATTGGACCCTCAACCCCTCAACCCTTCAAACCGAAAACAACCCTAAAGCGCTGAGCCCTAAAACACCAACCCTAAAGCCCTAAACCCTAAAACCCCAAACCTCACACCCCAAACCACAAATCCCAAACCCCTCAACCCCAAACCCCAAACTCTGAACCCCAAACCCTGAACCCCAAACGCTGAACCCCAAACCCCACACCCTAAAACCCTAAAACCCTAAAACCCTAAAACCCTAAAAAGCTAAAACCCTAAAACCCTAAAACCCTAAACCCCCCAAAACCCTAAAACCCTAAACCCCAAAACCTTGAAACCCTAAACATGAGGCCAGGAGCCGATGGTGCAGGTCCCCTTCTCGGAGGCCCAGGTGCCGTGCAGCTTCTCCCCTACTGCGGCAGGTTTAGGGTTTTTAGGTTTGGGGTTTAGGGTTTAGGGTTTTAGGGTTTAGGGTTTTAGGGTTTAAGGGTTTAAGGGTTTGGGGTTTGGGGCTTGGGGCTTGGGGCTTGGGGCTTGGGGCTTGGGGCTTGGGGCTTGGGGCTTGGGGCTTGGGGCTTGGGGCTTGGGGCTTGGGGCTTGGGGTTTGGGGTTTGGGATGAAGGGCTTGGTGCTTTAGGGAGGGTTCTTGCGCTTTGTTCTGGAACTGCGCTCAGCGCTCGCGTGGGCGTGGCATGGCGTGGCACGTGAAAACTGCGGAAACCTGTCTAGGCAGGACACTGCTAAAGGCACGTACGCGCTGCACCCACGGGGTGCGGCTTGTCCAAGGTCACTTGCTCAGAGCACCCGCAGGGGTGCCCGCAGCGTGTGCAGCACGAAGAGCTGCGCCGTCAGCACAGCGACACCTCCTGCCTGGTGCGCCACGCCCAGCTCGATGGGGACGTAGAGCATCAAGGTGGCGATGCCCAGGCACATCTGCGCGGCCGTCATGATGGGCAAGAGGCTCGTAGCACTTGCAGCAGCTGCAGACAGTGGCAGCTGCAAGGAATACGCCCAGACGCCGAGCGAGGAGGCCACAGAGAGGTAGGCTAGGATCCTGTGGTTGAACTGAACCACCGGGGTCTCCTCGAAGACTGCCCGCCACCGGGTCAGTGGCTCCGCAGCTACAGCCGACCATTCTGGAGGCACCCAGTCGTCCAGCATCTTTGGCCAAGTGTTGTAGGCTCGCCCCGCATCGTTGCCTGCCACAAAGGGGCCACTCAGGAGCGTCAGAAGAACCACAGAGGTGGCCTTGGTAGCCCAGTAACCATACTATTTTTTAAGGGCAACCTTTTTTGGGTTGGTTACTTTTTGTCAGGGAACCCATAACCCCTAAAAAGGGTAGAGGGTACCACTGTACCAAAGTGGCGGGGATCGCCAGCGTCCTCACCTTGGCCGCCGCGGACGCCGCCTCCGCGCAGCCGTGGATCACCGCGGGGCTTGGCCTCAGCAGGCTCAGCGTGTTCCACACGCATCCCGCATAGATCGTCAAAGCTGCAGTCCAGTGCGATGCCAATCGGTATGGCGAGACCCGAGGCCGCTGGTGCTGCCCCAGAGTGGGCGTGTGCTTCTCGGGCGGGTCCAGGCCACTCCGCACCATCCACCAGCCGACAAAGGCCTGGGAGAGGCCCAGACCGAAGAGACCCGTCAGTCGTGCGCCCAGCCGCGCACGCACGATGCCCCGCACGGCAAAGTAGCCCAGAGGCACGGCGAACAAGAGGCCGGCAGTCCGCCCCCACATTCGATGGAACCACTCTACGAAGTAGATGCGCTTGAACTCATCGAGCTCCATCTTGCCAGCATGCAGCCGCTGATACTCGGGATACTTCTTGTACTCCTCAAACTCCTTGACCCAGGCATCCTCACTGAGTGGCAACCGCCGGCCCTCTAGACGCCAGTCGGTCATGGACAGCCCGCTTCCAGACAGCCGCGTGTATCCCCCGATCGCAATCATGGAGTACAGCATTCCGCATGTCCCAGCAAGCCAAAGCCCCACGGTGCGCTCCCAGCCCGGAGCTACGAGCTCCGCTGGCGCGGCCGCCGAAGACGTGTTCAGCGCCGCTGCTGCCTTGAAGCGAGGAAACTCCCTGAGCCAGGGAGCTCGCAACGTCGAGGGCGCAAGACGCCGCGCAGAAGAAGAGCATCGTGCCGCGAAGCTTAGCATTGGAGCCTTCTACTGAGGGTGCCGCGGCCACCCAAGACTGCAGCTATAACCGTGTCTCTGCATGCAAACGAGAAAAGAAGGATGTATTTGCGCACATCTTGGTCCTTGTTTCTGCAAATCTTGAAAGAGGCAACAGGGAATGAAAGGCTCGAGCCGAGCATGGAGTTGCTGCACTTTCGTAGGCCCCCTAGCGCAGTCTCGCAGCTAGCTGCTGGTACCCTGAATTTCTTGCCATCCTATCTTAAAACATGTCAGCGTAGCGAGCCCTTAGGCTTTCTCAAGATGCCCAACTGCACCGGGGGCGCCTGCATCCGCGGCGTCCAGGGCGAGCACTTTTGGGAGCTTCTGCCTGGTGGGAAGAGGGTGTGGGGGTTCAGGCTTTCGCGTAATGTTTTGCAGTTCAGAAGAGGTGGATGAGAGCTCCTGGTGATGAGACTTGGGGAGTTTATCACATGAGAACCTTCTTGGGGGAAAATCAGGACTGATGTGCTGCAACGGGACAAAGGTGCTCCGAAACAGGTGTCCTACCCAAGCTGTGTGTTGCTGTGAACCAAAAAAGCCCCGATACCAGCCCAGGCACACAGCTTGCACCTCCTTCTCGGCGCTGCCACGCTTCATGGCCGAAGGCGAGGGCTCCGGCTGTCCGAGGGGGTTCTCAGCTGTGAAGGTCGGGTTCAAAAGTTCGGGACCCAGAAGCCCCAGAAGCCCCCAAATCTCTTAAAACAGAACTCCCGGCTTTGGGGGCCTCTTACTCCAACCCTTGGGAGGTCTGCACAGATCCTCACGTCCCCCTCTGGGTCTTAACCCATACCTGCTTGATCTGCGGCTGCGGTAACAGGGAGCGACGACTGTTCCCTCGTGATTTTCAAGAGGTCTTGCGATTCTGGGCCCCTGTGGCACAAAGGTCGCCAGGAGTAGGCCGTCAGGAGGCATTGGGCCGAGGGTTTCGGGGTCTTGGGGTTGAGGGTTTCCGGTGTCCTAAACCCTGAGCCCCAAGCCCTCGACTCCCTAGAACACGTACAATCTGTCCGAAACCCTAAACCCTAAACCCTAAACCCTAAACCCTAAACCCTAAACCCTAAACCCTTTAGCCAGCCCCCCGCCTGGGCCGGAACTCGCTTCGTGGGCTGCTTCAGCAGCGCCGGGGCGGAGGTGGCCTCAGGAGGTTTCGGAGATGGCTCGGTGGTCTACAGGTTTAGGGTTTAGGGTTTAGGGTTTAGGGTTTAGGGTTTAGGGTTTAGGGTTTAGGGTTTAGGGTTTAGGGTTTAGGGTTTAGGGTTTAGGGTTTAGGTTCTAGGGTTTAGGGTTTAGGGTTTAGGGTTTAGGGTTTAGGGTTTAGGGTTTAGGGTTTAGGGTTTAGGGTTTAGGGTTTAGGGTTTAGGGTTTAGGGCACGACGCACCCTAACGCCAGGCAACTCCAAGGTCTGAGAGCTTAGGCCGAACCCTGCGACTGGAGCCCGAGGCTCCGACCTCTCTTCTCAGCTCCTAAACCCTAAACCCTAAACCCTAAACCCCTATACCCCTGAACCTTCAAAAACCCCAAAGCCCCTAAGCCCCTAGGGTTTAGGCTTAGAAAGCCCCTAAGCCCCTAAGCCCCCCCCGAAACCCTGCAAGCAACAGGCAGGCCTTGGTCATCGATGGCTGCGGTCCGCTGGCAACCTCCCCTTCGACAGCTGTGAGCTTCCAAGGTATGTGGGCGTTTGGGGGTTTGGGGTTTAGGAGCTTGCAATCCAGGGCTGAAGGTACATTCCTCCACTTCGTACATTCCTGAGGGCTACCCACAATGAAGAACACAGAAACTCCCTCGCCCTAAACTTAAACCCCGTAAACACCCTGAACGCCCTCAACTCCGTAACCCCCTAAACCCTAAACCCTAAACCCTAAACCCTAAACCCTAAACCCTAAACACCCTCAATCTTTACCTCCTCCAACTCGCAGCGGCCTGGCGCGCCCGCGCCGCCACCCTCCTTCTCCTTGTCGCCGGCCGTGGGCATCGTGGGCCGCGCGCGGAGCAACCTGGCGAAGGGGTTTAGGGTTTAGGGTTCTGGGTTTAGGGTTTAGGGTTTAGGGTTTAGGGTTTAGGGTTTAGGGCTCCGGGTTCCCACTATGGCCTGCGTCTGGTAGTGTGCCTTGTAGATGCTGGCTTTTGACCCTAAACCCTCCACCCTAAACCCCAAACCCTCAACCCTCACCCTAACCACTGAAACCCTGACTCGGGCAATCTGCGCCGGCGCGGCTCCTCCACCTCACGGAAGGCCTGGCAAAGGCTTAGAAGTGGTGGGGTTTAAGCCCTGAGCCCTAAACCCTAAACTTCTGGGTTTTCGGCGGGGCGGTTCTTTGGGCCATCGTTCTATCACAGGCCCCCCCTTGATTCGGGAATCAAGAGGTTCGACGACGAACTACAAGGTCTACTCTGTCATTTGCGGGCTCAGCTCCGGAACCCCTAAAACCCTAGAACCCTAAACCCTGAACCCCTAAAACCCTAAACCCCCATGCACTGTCCTGCTCCCTCCAACCCGAAACCCTAAACCCTAAACCCTAAACCCTAAACCCTAAACCCTAAACCCTAAACCCCGAGCCACCTCCTGCAGTCTTTGAGAGCTGGGCACCGCTTTGGAGGGGCTCCTCCAAGACCAGGGAAGGGCTTGAGCTTTTGGGGGGGGGGGGGGGGGGGGGGGGGGGGGGGGGGGGGGGGGGGGGGGGGGGGGGGCCTTACTACACTTCGGGAGCTTCGGGAGTTGAGGCCAGCCACCACCCCCCCCCCAAAGAAACTAAGACATTCTACAACCGAAGCCCCATTTTACGACGAGAACACACCATTTAGCCACCAGCAGCCGCATCTTCGACAAGAGCACGCCGATTTTGCAACTGGACAACCAGAGTGCCAATGTCCCTCTCTTTCTGTCGTCCGTTTCTTTGAAGTAGGTACGAAGAGTGTCTTCCTTCCTCTCTCTCTCTCTCTCTCTCTCTCTGTTTCTTTCTATTAGTACATGATATATTGAAAAAAACTAATATACAATTTGATGCGCAGATAATACGGGTAGACCCTAAGCCCTGAAACCCTTAAACCTGCACGCCTACGTTCAAGCCAAGTTATTATGGGAGCCTAACCCCTCAACCCTTCCTTCCTTTCCTTCTGTGTTTCCTGTCGCTGTCTTGAAGTTGGCTTCAGAACACCGGCCTCCCTTCAAATCTGCGTGGTTGCTCAAAGGGATGATGCTGAGGGTTTCAGGTTTGTGCTCCGCGTAAATACGTAGGCTTGCTAAGCAGCTTCCGCTTGCAACTAGGCTTGCAGGTTGGAAAATGGGGGGGTTCTGGCCCTAAACCCATCCTAAACCCTAATCCCGAAACCCTGACACCCTAAACCCTAAACCCTGACTCCCCCCCCACCCCGGACCAACCCCCGAAGGCTCCGGGCGGCAGGGGTCTTGGCTGTCTGGGGCTGGGGGCCACCCAGCGTCTGCAGCGGCGGCAGGCTGGTACCTGCAGCTCAGGGTTTCTATCTTCTGTAGACGACCTGGCAATTTTAGGGTTCAGGGGAAAAGGGTTTAGGGGTTTAGGGTTTAGGGTTTTGGGGGTTTGGGGGGGTTGAGAGGGTTTAGGGTTTTGGGGTTTGGGGGGTTGAGAGGGTTTAGGAGTTGGGGCTTGTGGATCGAAACCTTCGGGCTACCACTGATCACACACGCAATTTCCTTCTGCCATTCTATTGGCGTATCGGACTCGACGAATCGATGATGCTCAGGAAGCCTCGTGCCTTGGGCAGCAAGCTTTTGAAGAAGGCCTAAATGTGTCGCTGGCAGGCTGCCCAGCATTCTGTAGCCAGCCCACCGGATGTTTCACCAGAAGCCTTCCACCAGAACATAGAGGCAGGGAGCGAGGACAAACAGGCAAAGGCTTGGCGACTTGGCGGTATCGACCTGGGGTGCGATCGCATCAGGATTTCTGGTTGCCGTTGTGGTGGTCGTGTCGTTTCCATCCGCAGCAGGTGGCGGCAAAGTCGTCGTCGTTGTCGTTGTCGTGGCACTTCCCGCCACATTTGTTACAGTCGTGGCGGCCGTCGCCGTCGCGGTCGTTGCGACGTCAGTCGTGGGAGTTGCGGTTGCTACGGTGCATTGCGCGAGGGGCTGAGGCTGCTCACAGCCAGGAGCCGCGGCCTCCGGCTCGTCGTGCGTGAGGCAGGGCGAGCCCCAAAAGATCCAGGCGGTGTTCCTATACTGAGCTTGGAACCCTAGCAAAAATCAAAAGTGTTGCTGATTCTTAGGAAATTTTAATACCCAAAAAAGAGAAAGTATTCCCAAGAATCCCTAAGGTTCTCGGAGGAATAGAAGTTGCAGTCGTAGCCGCCGAAGAAGACGCCGCCTTGCTGGAAGGGAGACAGAGAGTAGGCACGGACGGCCGTCAAGACCGGGTCGACCTGGTCTTTCCGGCATCTCCTGCCGCCGACCTCACGGACCTCGTAGTCCGACGCAGACCGGCGAATCATGTATCCGCCACCCGCCCAGTACGACAAGTCGCCGTTCGAAGCCTGCGACTTGGGATAACCCCGCCCTTATACTAACAGCCCTTAATAGGGATTCGAGTACCCCCTACTCATATAATCCCTATTAGGGACTGCTAGTATAAGGTCCCCTATTCATATGAATCCCTACTAAGGACTGCTAGTATAGGGTAGACAAGCGTTTCAACACCCCAGCCTGCGACCTCTGAGCCGGGTTCGCCGGAAGACCGTCCGGGGAAGTCAAGATGGAGCCGAACATCAGCACCTGAAAGCCGATGAGGTGAACCGTGTTGCCATTCCTCGGAGGGCCCTTAAGAGAAACCCCTTCAAAAAAACATTCTCCATCAAATAAGATCCTCAAAAACCCAATGATTTAGGGTTTAGGGTTTAGGGTTTAGGGTTTAGGGTTTACGGTTTTAGCGTTTAGGGTTTAGGGGAAAAGAGAAACATGTCCCAGAAAACCTACCTAGATTCTTTGCTGGGACTGGCAGCATGTTGTTGTATGCTGAAATGGCGTAGGGAAACTTCCCCCATGAGACGTACTCATCCTGCATAATTTGTTTGACGCACTTTTCCAGTGACGGGCTGAATCCACCAGCTTCGTTCGGATCTAAGCGATAGATGCAGCCCTTGGAACGTCCATTCGGGTTCCATGACACCAGCAGCGACTGCTTGGTAGGACTTGTGGGATTGTCAACTGTGGTGAGACCACGCAATCCCCCCACGGACTCGTCTGTTTCTGAGACAGACGTGTCATGTTGCAGCATGTCGAAGACCGTGGTCCATGATGCCACAGCCACTCCTTTTGTTCGTTTCATGATGAGTTGGCCCACCGCCATGTACACATGGCCGTCCATCTCGGCTAATGCGAGCGGCCGCTGCGGAAGCGACTCGCTGCCAGGCTCAACTTGTTGATCGAACGTCACGCGGACTGGGCTGTCAGCCGTGTACCGGCCCTGAATTACGCCGTGCTTGCCTGTCGGAATGATGACACGCTGCGCTTTGGTGATGGGGTCCAGGTAAAGGTGCATGGATCGGGCGGTGAAGGTCTTCTCAGCATACGGCGTCTTCTTGAAATACGGCTCGCAAGACCAAAGCGCTGAAGCGTCATTGCGTGTGCAAAAGAAGCAGTGAGCTTCTCCCAGCACGTCTATGTAACCCGTTGCATGCAACAGTTCGTCTGTGCCGCTCTCCGTTATCCAACTGAACGACTTCAGGCTCTCCAGGCGTATCGACCAGTCCATATACAAGTTATTGGGCGCAGGGTGTTCCATCTGCCACTCGCAGGTGTGACAGTCCAAACGCAAGATGCGCCCTGGCTGGTGTGTCGGAAGCATCCAGTAGCCCACCGAGGCGAAGAGAGAACCCTTGTGGATTTCAAGCTGCATGATCTCGGTACCAGGGATTCCCGTTCTGCCTGCCTGAAAGCTATGCAACCATCCATTCGAAGTAGGCACCGCAGATGATGGGCAGCCCTCTGCTTCATTGCTGCAGTCCTGTCCTGCGGCCACGAACACCGCAGACGCGAACCCCAGGCAGAACAAGCAACTTGAAGGGATGATCCTGCCCATCTCGAAGTAAGAGTAGGCACAACATACCTCGACAAGAAGCCCAGCTACCCTACGGAGCCAGCGGCTACGGCGACAGTAGTTGCCCCTTCTGAACCACCCTGACAGTGTGGGAACCTAACCGAACCACCACCGCTTCCACATGAACCCCAGCCTTGACCTAGCGTGCTGTCGTGCTCAACCTGAGAACTTGTTTAAGGAAGCCCCCCTGAAAGAGTTGCTTCCTGGCAGGGTCATGAAGGCGCTGAGCACCCAAGGGTCTTTTGAATGTCTTGGGCAACAAGGAACCTGCAAAGAAACAGGCAGGCCTTGGTTCTCACAAGGTATGGTGAGGTCACCCTCAAAACCCAAACGCCAGGTCTGAAGGCGCCCTCGAAACCGCAAACCCTAAACCCTAAACCCCAAACCCTAAACCCTAAACCCTAAACCCTAAACCCTAAACCCTAAACCCTAAACCCTAAACCCTAAACCCAGCCCCGCACCTGCGCCAGCCTTGCCCTCCAGCGGCAGGACCAGCTGCGAGGCCTCACACGAGGAAGTTTAGGGCTTTATTTTAGGGTTTAGGGTTTAGGGTTTAGGGTTTCGGGTTTAGGGTTTAGGGTTTAGGGTTTAGGGTTTAGGGTTTTGCTTAAGAACCCCCAAAACATTGAAACAAATAATCCTCATATTGCCCTTACAAGGAAGGATTTTGTGGGGTTCTTAAGCAAATAGTGGTGCTTGGGGCTTAGGGAATTTGGAAGGTTGGCGCCTGGGTTGGGTTGGCGGTTCAGACTGCGGGGAGAAAGCAAAAACCAGAGAGCTGGAGCGTTTACAGGCGTAAGGTGCAGGCTGTGTGCTCTTTTGTATACCTAGGGAATTCCTTGGTCACGGCTTGATGAGGGCTCAGACCAGTGCACTGCTCTTTTCTTTCAGAGCTGTGCAGACTTGTAGCGCCCGAAAAGGAGGGGACGTGAGGGAGCCCTCACTTGCGTTTGGGTCTCAAACACTGCTTCCCATCTCCCCGCCCCCCCACAAAAGCCCCGCAGGTTCTCCCGCCTGCTCCGTGAGCATCCATCGCTGGTTGGTCCGGGAGTGCGCCGTCGCGCGGTAGGCCATGGCACAGCTGGGCTGTTTCTTGAGGGGTTCTGGATCCCTCTTCCTGGGTTCAGTTGGGTTCTAGTGCGGTTGCGGGTATCAGGGCACTGAGGTGGGAGGAAGTCGGCTTCGGGCGTGTGATGCGCACTGGCCCTTGCGGTCCATGTCCCTTGAATTCGTCTGCGGCCGGTCATGGGTTTTTTTTTGGGGGGGGGAGGGCTGTTCGGCTCCTCAAGCTGCAATGTCTCCCGGATCTTCACACCCCTAAGCTCAAAGGACGAAGGGCCCAGGAAGCACAGCCCACCGGTCCCCTGGGCTTCAGAAGTTTTGGGCCAGGTCTGAAAGGGCGTGGTGAAATGCGGGCTTGGGCTCAGGGGTTTGGGTCCTATTGAGGCTCTAAAGGGCCTCTTGGGGCCCTATTGGGGCCCTTAAACCTTTTGAAGGGTGGTTTGGGGAGAGCATGGCCCTGGCACTTTCTCCGGACGCGGAACGAAGGCTGCGCTTTTGCGCGCTCCGGTGATATGGACGCAGGTCCCACGGCCGCCGAAGAGGGAGAGGGAGGGGTGGCGACTCACTCTTCTGGAGCTGTTGTCTGACATCTTGGATCCCCTCCCTCACAAAACGGCACTGCTAAACTCTTACCTAAGCCGCAAAAGGCCCTCAGACCCTCAGAGCTTCTCCGGCTCAGACCGTCCAGGAGGCGACCTGCCACGCAGCAGAGTCCACTTCGGCTTGCACCTCCATAGCCCTCAACCCCAAGACCTCTCTGTAAGGGTGGAAGAAGAAATCTAAGGGCTTCGCAGGGCATTCTGCAGGATTCTACGGGATTCTAAGGAAGGTCTGCGGGATTCTAGGCCGGATGCTTTTGGGGTGTGGAGGTGTCATATTAAGCATCCCAAGGGCCTCCCTAGTAGGGGAGTTGGGCTTCTTAGACCTCGCCCCGAAAGATCTGAAACCTGTACCCTAAAGTCCTCAGCCCTAAAGAGCCCGCAATCCTGAATCCTGAGGCCCTAAAAACCCTAACATTCAACCCTGAAATCCCTCAACCCCTGACACCAGCAAGAAAACCCTCGTAAGCTGTGAACACGAAACCTCAAGTATATCCGCCGACCCCAGCAACAGCGGGGGCGGCGTCAGTGAAGACCCTCTGTTTGTTCCCCCCCCCCCCCCCCCGACCTCCCCCCATCCCTGCCCTGACCGCAACCTCCTCCACTCCACCTCTCCGAACACTCTCTGTTTGTTCGACCTCCCCCCATCCCTCCCTGACCGCAACCTCTTCCACTCCACCTCTCCGTCCCCCCCACCCCCCCGCCCCACCCCCCGCCCCCAACCCCCTACCCCCCCTACACACCCCGCCGACCTCCTCCACTCCACCTCTCCGAACACTCTCTGTTTGTTGCCCCCCCCCCCCCCCCCGTCCCCCCCACCCCCCCGCCCCCACCCCCCGCCCCCAACCCCCTACCCCCCCCACACACCCCGCCGATTAGAAATTAGAAACCCACCCAACCCCAACCCCACCCGACCTCCCTTTCCCATCCCTGACCGCAACCTTCCTTTGCTTCCCCCCCCCCCTCACCCACCCTCTTACACTGCCCTTACCCCCCCCCACCCCCCTAACACCCCAACCCCCCCCCCCCCTGCCCCACCCCCCTGCTGCGACCCCCCCCCCGCCTATACCCTCCCTTGCCGATGAGCCCTCCCCGCCCTTCCCGCCCCCTGCCCCACCCCCCCCCCCTACCCCTCCCCACCCCGCCTCCCCTTTCTCACCCCCCCACCCCCCCACCCCCCCCAACCCCTCCTTGCCCTTCCCCACATTCCACCGCTTGCCACCCCACCCCCCCCCCCCACCCCCCCCCCCCCCACCCCCCTCCACACCCCACCACCCCCCACTCCCCCACCCCTCCCTCCTCAACCCCTCACACCCGCCGCCCGCCACACCCCACCGATCCCACCCCTCCCCCATTAGAAACCCCCCCCAACCCCTCCCCCCAAACCCCCACCCGACCTCCCCCCCATCCCTGCCCTGACCGCAACCTCCCTTTGCTTCGCCCCCCCCTCTCACCCCCACCCCCACCGCTCCACACCCCACCACCGCCCACCCCCCCACCCTCCCTCCTCAACCCCTCACACCCGCCCCCCGACCTCCCCCATCCCTGCCCTGACCGCAACCTCTTCCACTCCACCCCCCCACCCCAAACCCCCCAGCCCCCCCCCTGCCCACACTCTGTTTGTTTCCCCCCCCCTGCCCTGACCGACAACCTCCTCCACTCCACCTCTCCGAACACTCTCTGTTTGTCCCCCCCGCCCCCCCTGACCTCCCGACCGCAACCTCTCTACTCTCCACTTACCCCCCTCCGTCCCCCTCACCCCCTAAGAGAAACCCACCCCCCCCCCACCCCTCCCCCACACCACCCCCTCCCTCCCCCCCACCCTCCCTCGCCAATGAGGCAATGATTTAAAGGCTCCAGTACACGCCCGCCCTCCCCGCCCTTCCCCCACCCCCCCCACCCCCCCCACACCCCGCCTACCCTTCTCACCCCCCCACCCCCCCACCCCCCAACCCCACCAGCCACGGCCACGCCCCTCACATCCCCCGCAGGCCTACCCTCTGCCACTCCCTTCCCCTTCCCTACCATTCCACTCCCACCCGCTACCCCTCCCCCTCCTCAATCCCTCACATACCGCCCTTCCTTACCCCCCACCCCAAACCCCCCAGCCCCCCCCTGCCCACACTCTGTTTCCCCCCCCCTGCCCTGACCGACAACCTCCACCTCTCCGAACACTCTCTGTTTGTCCCCCCCGCCCCCCCTGACCTCCCCCCATCCCTGCCCTGACCGCAACCTCTTCCACTCTCCGCTTGCCCCCTCCGTCCCCCTCACCCCCTAAGAGAAACCCACCCCCCCACCCACCCCCCCACCCCCTCCCCCACACCACCCCCTCCCTCCCCCCCCCTCCGCCTACACCCTCCCTCGCCAATGAGGCAATGATTTAAAGGCTCCAGCACACGCCCGCCCTCCCCGCCCTTCCCGCCCTTCCCGCCCCCTCCCCCACCCCCCCCCACCCCCCCCACACCCCGCCTACCCTTCTCACCCCCCCACCCCCCCACCCCCCAACCCCTCCCCACATTCTCACACCCCACCGATTAGAAACCCACCTCCCCTACCACCCCCCGTCTGCCTCCACCCCCCCCCCACCAGCCACGGCCACGCCCCTCACATCCCCCGCAGGCCTACCCTCTGCCACTCCCTTCCCCTTCCCTACCATTCCACTCCCACCCGCTACCCCTCCCCCTCAATCCCTCACATACCGCCCTTCCTTACCCCCCACCCCAAACCCCCCCAGCCACCCCCCTGCCCACACTCTGTTTGTTTCCCCCCCCCCTGCCCTGACCGACAACCTCCTCCACTCCACCTCTCCGAACACTCTCTGTTTGTCCCCCCCGCCCCCCCTGACCTCCCCCCATCCCTGCCCTGACCGCAACCTCTTCCACTCTCCACTTACCCCCCTCCGTCCCCCTTACCCCCTAAGAGAAACCCACCCCCCCACCCACCCCCCCCCACCCCCTCCCCCACACCACCCCCTCCCTCCCCCCCCTCCGCCTACACCCTCCCTCGCCAATGAGGCAATGATTTAGAGGCTCCAGTACACGCCCGCCCTCCCCGCCCTTCCCGCCCTTCCCGCCCCCTCCCCCACCCCCCCCCACCCCCCCCACACCCCGCCTACCCTTCTCACCCCCCCACCCCCCAACCCCTCCTCGCCCCTCACACCCCACCGATTAGAAACCC